GATCTGTGAAGAAATGAAATTCTTCATATTCACAATTATATTATAACAATGAAGAAGTTGATTATCAATATTATCTGCAAACTTCTACCTGCATCACTAAATCAAACTCAGAAACAACTTTAGTATAAGATTTTTTGTTCTTCTCATTCTTCAAGGCAGCCTGAAAGTACAAAAAATTATAGGTTGAAACTAGGTACGTGAAAAAAGGAATAAGAAACCAAAATGTTAAAGCAAAACTACACCATCACCAGCTTAAAGTGAAAGGGAAATTGGCTGCAATTCCATCAACAAAAATCCAAACTATATACAGCATATTTAGTTTTTTACCCAACAATAAGCCAATAATTATATAACATTAAGAACACAATTAGTAGAGCTTAATATGCAACTTCCATAAACATTCATATATGTGTTTGTAAATATTTATGCAAAGAGATGCAACCAAGTGTTAATTTTTCTCACAAGGAAGTTAAGTATTTCCGTTTATATCACACCAAAATACAGAAGGATGCAATAAACCACGAAGCCAAGATTGTGGTGAGCACATAATGTCTTTCAATCACACAAATACCTCTTGCAAGGTCGATGTGCTATTCTGAGAGAGCAAAAAGATTGGGAAATTATAAGCCTTCCACATGATTCCAGATCCCTGCAGACAGGCAACAGTCTTAGGAGTTGTCATATGTGCAACACCAACACAGTAACATGCCCTATGACAGTTCAACTCAGTCCTTACCTTTTGGCTGAAAATATATTGCTAAATTTCCAATATTATGCTAACATGTAAGTGCTATTTCGAACTATTGCATAATATTACGGTCAAAGTGACAAAAGGGGTTAAGTAAATACAAGTACATAACACCAAATGGTGAGGATGGACAGTTAAAACAGAGAGTAAGAGTGGATCCAAGTCGCAATAAACTATTACTCCACAAATTCCTCACAATCATTTTACCCAGATAACATAATACAACCCCATGGATTTAATGCTCTCTTATATGGTATGAGTAGAAGTTCGTCATATGAGCTCACAAGCAACCAGATACTGCATTTTGATTCAGTTAATTGGTTCCAGTCTTGGAAAAAACAGACATTCAACCTGGAAACTAGATGTGGAAACATCGATGAGGTAAAAAAGGACTTCAGACACCCTTAGCATTTACGACAGTCCTAACAAACTCAAATGAGATGTACTTTGAACCAATCCCTCTGATAAACTGGTTTCGAAACTAAAACGAAAAATAAAGTGGAAGAGGAAGTTAGGTTTAATCCTTTTCAATCAACATGAGATACTGCAAGAAAAAATCATTCGTAGAGCTGAAAAGCCCATTATTCCAATTTTCCAATGAACTTCTACTTGCTTTGTTCGTGGCCCGACTTACGTTGGGATGTTCTTGAGCCGGTAGGTATCGTACTACTAAAGGTTGTTTCATTTCAAGAACTGATCAATATTACTTACCACTCAAAGGAATAATGTTTGCATGACTTTTAACCCATCACTATTATCACATTGAGAAAAAGCACAACTAATAAACCGGTTATTGTGAGATGCTAATAAACTTTTGCAACATACAGCTGGGTTCCACTCAAAATTGTTGTTTCTGTATGGAGCAAATTCTGCCTGTGGAAACTTTGCATCTGGGGAGAATCCTGAAAGGTAACAAAGGATAGATTATTTTCTGAAGAATGTTTCTTTAAAAGCTTCAAACAAAATAAAATTGTTTGACAATTATGGTATTACCTTTTAAACTATTTTGAACATGAGTTCCAGATTCAACTAAAATCCCAGCCACATTTCTAGCAAAATTTGAATCACTCAATACTCTGGAACATAGAAACCAAATAATATTTTATCAAATAGGATGGACAACATCACCGACGAAAAGTTTGTAATGAATCCCACCAATGAACATCAAAACATTTTTCTTTAAAAAAAAAAGAAAAAAGAAAAAAAAAAGGGTAGATTAACATCCATCCATGTATACGGTTCAACTTTTAGGTCACAGTATCCATGAAAAAGAAAATAGAAGAATAAAATGCAAAGCAAAAGAAATATTCAGATAGTCGATCAAAAGTATTTGCGTAAATAGGGCTAGTCGTTTTTTTCAACCCACTAGAGCAACAAGTTCTCCATGTCCATGATCAAAATAGTAAATCATCACACACTAGTTAGCAATGACCAAGTAATAGATTCAAAATGGGTTCAGACAAATATATATCTGAGAACAAAATTGAGAATGGGAAAGAAATGTGGATGAATTATTTATAACAACACTGTGATGAGCAAAATGGGTTTGGATGAACTTGATGCATTCACATCTCAAGCTACATTTGGAACTGAATGTGTTAGGAAGTAAAACTGCTATCACTACCAAATGATAAAAATCTATGTCCCAAAACATTGTGCGCATGGCACACAACTGGTTTCAGTTAACCAAGATACAAATATATGCACTGCAAGTATTTAAATTGCAATTTAACATTATTTTTTAAAAGGATGACATTTCACAGAGCATGTACGCATTTTTTCATACACCAAAGGTATACCTCTTTTTCACATTAGTCGGACTGCCACTAAGCAACTTACTGCCCATTGAAATGTGAAAGGGACTAAAAACATGCTAAATCATAAACTACACTATGCAAAATATACAATTTTTATTTTTTATTTTTAAAAAAAAGAATGAACAACATAATAGAAAGGTAAACCAACACATTTCCCAATAGGTACACGCCTTGAAAGTAAGCTTTCAAACTCATCTGGAGAAACCAAGACTGAAGCTGGTTCAGTCAGCTCCTTTGCATTCTTAAATCTAACAACTGGAGCAACAACATTTCCACGGCCAGGATCTAAATTCCAAGTTGAGCATTGTTAAGTGAGCTGAATGAGAAACTAATGTTCAAAACCTTCAGTAATGATGGAAAGAAAATACCAACTTGAACAACCGATTTCCCCTGAAAGATTGAGAAGTCGAACGCATGGGAATCCATCGATTTGTGTGTACATAGACTTTTCAAGGTCAGGAACCGATTCAAATGAGTTTGTTCCTCCTGAAGCTGTAAAATAACACTAAAGCTTCAATGGTATACAAATACTTGAATCAAACTTGCAAGAAATAGTGCCAACAATCAAAATAAGTATCATAAGTATACAGGTTCATGCAATTATCCTCCACAAAGCAAAATGAAGCCACCAACAGTCAGTCAAAACAAACAATTTGTAACAGCATTCCCCAAAACAAAAAAAAAATAATAATAATAATAA